TCTGAGCACAGCTGCCCGCAAGCCTGCGTGAAACACGGAGCGCGGCTGGGCGTGCCTGGGGGAGAGGGAGCGTGTCGGAAGGCAGTCGTGTGGGTCTGCAGGAGAACAGCCGCGACCGGAGTCCAGGAGCACCTTAACAAGAGAGCCGCGGGAATGTCGGAGTGGGTGCGCTCTCCAGAGCCAAGGCGCTCCTGTTGCCAGACACCGGGATCTGAGCGCTCTTAGCCCCGTCGGAAGGCAGGAGGGCTGTGGGGAAGATGGCTCGCAAAGGATGCGAAGGGACCATGCCGAATGCGGTCCGCTTGATTAGAGAAGAGGGGGAAATGCAGGGGTGGGGTGGATCCTGCCCACGTCCCTGGAAGAATTCCGGGAATGGTGCCAAAGGTGATGTCTGTGCAAAGTTCGATGCGAAAGCCAGTTTGGTGTGGTGGTTAAGAGCGGCAGACTCTAATCCGGAGAACCGGGTTTGATCCCCCACTCCTCCGCCACATGCAGCCAGCTGGGTGACCTTGGGTCAGTCACAGGTTCTCTCAGAGGTGTTCTCTCAAGGGCAGTCCTTGACAGAGCTCTCTCAGCCCCACCTCCCTCGCAGGGTGTCTGTTGTGGGGAGGGGAAGGGAAAAGCGATTATAAACTGCTCTGAGACTAGGATTGAAGGGCAGGGTAGAAATCCAACTCTTCTTCTTCAGGCCATTGATTGATCACATCAGTTGCGTTCATACCTTGCCTTTCTCCTGACGGAAGCCCAAAGAACATCACGTGACATCCCGCCCTCCTCCATTTTTTTTCTCTCCCCTCCCCAGTGAAATATTGGTTAGGCTGAGCGCCTGTGCCTGACCCAACGTCTACCCGCCCAGTGACCCACCGGAGCCAGGATTGTCGACTCAGTATTGTGGTGTAGGGGCTACTCCACAGTTTAAGAGCCAGTTTGGTGCCGTGGTTAAGTGTGCGGACTCTAATCTGGGAGAACCGTGTTCGATCCCCCACTCCTCCACATGCAGCTTGCTGGCATGACCATGGGTCGTCACTCACAGTTCTGTCAGAGCTGTCCTCTCAAGGGCAGTCCTCGAGAGAGCTCTCTCAGCCCCACCTACCTCACAGGGTGTCTGTCGTGGGGAGGAGGAGGAGGAGATTGTAAACTGCTCTGATACTCCTTTGGGTAGTGAAGAGTGGGGTATATAAATCCAATCTCTTTTTCTTCTACTACTCAGGGTGTCGGACCAAGATCTGAGAGACCCAGATTCAACTCCCCACTCTGCCATGCGAATTTGCTGGGTGACCCTGGGCCAGTCAGTGTAACCTACCTCACAGGGTTGTTGTGAGGATAAAACAGAGGAGAGGAGAACGATGTAAGCCGCACTAGGTCCCCACCGGGGAAGAAAGTTGGGTGTAAATGAAGTAAATAAATAAAAATGCTCTCGGGCTGGCAGCTCCTCTCCAGGATCTTAGGTGAGGCCTTCCCCAGCTCTGCAGCCCGTCACCCTGTTGCTATGGATGCAGGCATATGCAGGAAACGCATCCTTGGCAGGTTAGGAGAAGAAGAAGAGATTGGATTTATACCCCATGGCCCTTCGCTACCCAAGGGAGTCTCAGAGCGGCTTACAAACTCCTTTCCCTTCCCCTCCCCACAACAGACACCCTGTGAGGTAGGTGCAGCCAAGAGAGCTCTGACAGAAACAGCTCTTTTTCAAGGACAGCTGTGCCAGAGCTTGTGACTGACCCAAGGCCATCCAGCCAGGTGCAAGTGGAGGAGTGGGGAATCAAACCCGGTTCTCCCAGATTAGAGTCCGCACACTTAACCATTACACCAAACTGGCAGTATGTAGGTGTATGAGATAAAGACACACACACAGAGACAGAGTGGAGGTGCAGATGGCAAGGCAGCGCACGCTGTTAAGACTGTAAGAGAAGCCGTGTGGGATCAGGCCAGTGGCCCATCCCGTCCAACACCAGAACCCAGGTGCTCTCAGGAGGTCCGTCACCTGAGCTAGTATGGGTGGAACTCTGCACTCTCGAATGAAGAAGAAGAAGAGGAGATTGGACTCATATCCCACCCTTCAGGACCCGAAGGAGTCTCAGAGCGGCTCACAGACTCCTTCCCCTTCCCTTCCCCTCCCCACAACAGACAGACACCCTGTGAGGTAGGTGGGGCTGAGAGAAATGTGACTGAGAACTGCCCCTGAGAAAACAGCTCTGAGAGAACTGGTGACTGACCCAAGGTCACACCACCAGCTGCATGTGGAGGAGGAGTGGGGAGTCCGCGCTCTTAACCACGACACCAAACTGGCTCCCCAAAAGAAGAGAGAAGTGGCTGATAGTTCTGTGTACATCCAAAACTTGCATTCTTTTGTAAAATGGACATTATTCTTCCTGCCTTTTTTGGGGGGGGTATTTCTGGGGGGGAGGGCAGGACCAGAGGAACTGCTGTGCTCAAGACTGGCGGGACGGGGGGGGGGGGGGGGGGGGTGTCTGATTCAGCCAGCTTTCCATTTGTGCTTGAGGTGACTTGGGAAGTAGATTTTGCTGACAGGCAGCCTCAGACTGAGGCCCAGGAAGGAATCTGTTCCCAGGCCAGATGGGGATTTTTAAAACATCCATCTATCTATCTATCTATCTATCTATCTATCTATCTATCTATCTATCTATCTATCTATCTATCTATCTATCTATCTATCTTCTAGGTTTGTAGCTGGAAGGTGCTACGGGACCCTGGGCTAAGTTTGGAGACAGAGATCTGGTCACCTCTGTGGCATGCACCACCATCTATCTATCTATTTATCTATCTATCTACCTATCTATCTATCTATCTATCTATCTATCTATCTATCTATCTATCAGTTTATTTATTTAAACCTTCATATCCCATCTTTCCTTGTGATTCAAGGCAGCTTATAATAACAGTTACTCCATTGGTCCACCATCTCTGTGTTTGTGGCACCTGCAAACTTGAGGATTTACCTCACTATGGCCCCAATCGCACGCAGAAGTTGCCGTGGGATACTCATGGATGCCGGGTGGGTTTTACGGGCGCGATCAAATGAGCACATCTGGCAAGCATCGCACACCCGTAAACAACCCGTCCCGTCCGGCCGAAGATCCGGAGTTAAAAAGTACCTGTGAAAATCCACTATGAAAAGCTTGCGACGGGCCGCAGACGGACTTCCTCCGTCTAATCGCTGCAGCGCGCTCTTCTTGCCGCGTTGAAGTGCGCTGGAAACACGCGCCGCCAGAAACAACCCCGGTCCGCCGCTGCAGCGTCGGGTCAGGTAGTGGCGGATTAAATTGCAGCGGCACAAATAGCCACACACACACACACACACCGGCGTTATCTGGCCCTATATCCTCTTTTGCCCACTGTATTCTAGTCCGAGGGCTACATTTTTAGCAAGTATTTTATCTGGTCTTAGTGCTTACTCAGTTGAGGATAAAATTTCATTTTTATTATCTGACATTGATGCATATGTCTCTTATAAAGTTTCATTATTTGCCCTTGCTGCAAAGAATATACGTTCCAAGGTGGCATCGGGAAGGGGGGGCCACTGCATTAAAATTAGTCATACTTTGTGATTGATTTCTGGCACTTTTATATATTCCGATATTAACCTACAGTTTGTTCACAATTTGTGTTTTGTAATTTTGTAACGGCCAATGGCTGGTTACAGTAAACTAAACTGAAACTGCAATAACAGTTATAGAAGCATTTCCAGTTAAGAGCAAAAATCTAATAGAAACCTTGAAGCTCTCCCCCTTAAAAGAGGCCTGCTGTTCGGCCCCCGCAAAAGTCCCGGCAGACAGGCAGGCCTTGCAGCGCACCCCCAAGATCTTGGAGGGGGTGGGGAGGCTCTCAAATGTTTGGGGAGCCCCGATGGAAAAGGCCTGGGCTCGATGGGCTACCCTGAGTGGTGGGAGAGCCAGCAGAGGGCTGCCTGGTGACCATAGTTGGCACGAGAGATGTGAAGGCCCGGGGGGGGGGGACAGAAAAATTCGGGGGGAAACCGTTTTTTCCCTGTTTTTTCCCTGAAGCCTTTTTGGATTTCTTCCGAAAAATTGGGAAAATTGAAAAAAGAAGAGAAAGGGGAGGGGAATGATTATGGAACGTTTTGTTTTAACATGATGAATAAAATATTTTAAGACAAGGTGTTCAAATATTTTCCAAATCATTTCTTTAAAAAAAATACATATGGTATCAGATTGATCTAATTTCTGTGCACTGAGGACAAGCAAGTCCTAGGTTACAAACTGAACTCTCCAATGCAAGAACAAGATGCATTTCTTCCTTTAGGAGGTGCTATTGTCACAAGAAAAGAAAAAGGTTTCAGGTTTTGTTTTTGCATGTGGGTGGGTATTCTGTTTGCAATAATTGTTCGGATGCACTGTCTTTTTAATATGCTAGTTGTGATAATTTCATGCCCAGAAAAAACGTCCATAGTCATATTTTATGTTCCTAAAGTAACAGAAGGGCTTTCAATCTGGAAAAAAAAAGAAGTGCTAAGGTAGCATTTTTTTCAATTTTTCCAAAACTTTCTGTTTTTTTTCCAGGGGAAAACTGGGTTTTTTCCCCGAGCTTCAAAATTCCTGGAAATTTTACATCTCTAGTTGGAACACGAGGACATAGAGAAGGGGACGGCCCTTCAGACGTGCGGGGTCCCACATCTTGAAGGGCTTTGGGTGAACTTGGCGGCGCGCCGGCCGTCCTCCACATCTCTCTCCCTTCTGCTCACTGTTTGGCACAAAGGCCCCTCTGCGAGCGCAGTTGAGCCGCGTTACGGGATCAGGGCCTTCCAGCGCAGAATCATCTTCTGCTTGTTGCTTCCCCATCCTAGACATGGCCCCTCACCTGGCCGCTTCAGAGCCGCTCGGACGATGGGGGGCCAGCCTGTCGCTGGGCTGGAATCAGGATGGCGAAGAGGCCCCACGGCCCGAGGAGGCAAGGCAGGGATAGAAGACGCTTTAAGCGAAATAAACCGGCTCCCTAACCCGAGTCTGTCTGTCCGTCTGCAGAACACGTCTGCTCCATCCTGGCTTCTCTCCTGCGGAACCTGAGGGGACAGCAGAGGACCCGCCTGCTCAACAAGTTTACCGAGAATGACAGCGAGAAGGTGAGGAGGGGTGTAGGCGACTGGGATCAGGGCCTGTCCTCTGGGGGAGTGTGTTGACCAGGGGCCATTTCGTAGAAAAAGAGGTGCAGGAGCTCATTAGCATAACTCATTCGCATAACTCATTTGCATATGCCACACCCCCTGACATCACCGGAAGTGTCTCGGAAGGCAACACCCATTGCTCAGGCTCCACTGGACTGTTTTGGATTGCTAGCTATGGGGGGAGAGATGCACAGATCTACCCTAGCAGAGGAGGGAGAGCTTGTACCTGAATAAAACTTGGTGTTAAAGGTCCCACTGGACTGTTTTGGATTGCTAGCTATTGGGGGGGGGAACGTGCAGATTTGTCCTCGCAGAGGAAGGAGAGCTTGTACCTGAATAAAACCTGGTATTAAAGGTGTCACTGGACTGTTTTGGATTGCTAGCTATGGGGGGAACGTGGATGTGCAGATCTGCCCTAGCAGAGGAGGGAGAGCTTGTACCTGAATAAAACTTGGTCTTAAAGGTGCCACTGGACTGTTTTGGATTGCTAGTTATGGGGGGGGGGACGTGCAGATCTGTCCTCACAGAGGAGGGAGAGCTTGTACCTGAATAAAACTTGGTCTTAAAGGTGCCACTGGACTATTTTGGATTGCTAGCTGGGAGGGGGAACATGCAGATCTGCCCTCGCAGAGGAGAGAGAGCTTGTGCCTGAATAAAACTTGGTCTTAAAGGTGCCACTGGACTTTTTTGGACCAGGGGGCCGGGGGGGGCGGTGCTCTGCAGCCTACCTGGCTGCTTCTTGCTCTGACTGAGGGCTGCTGGGAGCAGGGGGTGGGGCTTGTTGCATGTGCCCGCCCCCTGGGCTCTTTACTGCCGGAGCTCCGCTGTATCACTTGTATTCTGGTGTGACAGTTAGAGTTTCGGACTTAAACCTGGGATAACAGGGTTCGAATCTCTCACTTAACTGGGAAGCCCAACAGGTGTCCATGAGCCCATCACAGTCTCTCCACCGAACTTCCTTCACAAGGCAGTTGTGAAGGGGGGGGGGGAAACGATGCGAAAAGCCACTTTGATTCCCCGATCAGGAAGAGAGGTGGGATACAGTTGTGTTTTTTTTAAAGAGGCTGTATCCATTCTGCCAGATTGACCTAGCAGAGTGTTGTCCCTGGTGGACTAAAAGCAAACACTCGTAGGCTAATGATATGCAGAAATCAAAGAGGGTCAGGGCGTGGCTCGGGGCCAATCGGGAGTCAGATAAGAACAGAAGAGGAGCCAGTGTTGGATCAGGCCAGTGGCCCATCTAGTCCAACACTCTGGGTCACACAGTGGCCAGAAATACCAGGTGCCATCAGGAGGTCCACCAGTGGGGCCAGGACACCAGAAGACCCTCCCACTGTTGCCCCCCCCAAGCATCAAGAAGACAGAGCATCCCTTGCCCCAGCCCAAGAGTTCCTCTCTATACCTTCTGGCTAAGAGCCACTGATGGACCTCTGCTCCATATGTTTATCCAGTTCCCTTTTATAAGAACATAAGAGAACCCATGTTGGATCAGGCCAATGGCCCCTCCAGTCCAACACTCTCTGTCACACAGTGGCCAAAAACACCAGGTGCCATCAGGAGGTCCCACCAGTGGGGCCAGGACACGACAAGCCCTCCCACTGTTGCCCCCCCCCAAGCACCAAGAAGACAGAGCATCGCTTGCCCCAGCCTGAGAGCCCCTATCTATACCTTGTGGCTAAGAGCCACTGATGGACCTCTGCTCCATGTGTTTATCCTGTTCCCTCTTGAAGCCGTCCATGCTTGTAGCCACCACCACCTCCTATGGCAGTGAATTCCATGTGTTCATCACTCTTTGGGTGAAACAGGACTTCCTTTTATCCGTTCTAACCCGACCGCTCAGCAGTTTCATGGAGTGCCCACAAGTTCTTCTATTGTGAGAAAGGGAGAAAAGTACCTCTCTACCTGCTCTATCCCACGCATAATCGTATAAACCTCGATCACGTCACCCCTCATTCGCCGTTTCTGCAAGCTAAAGAGCCATGAGTGCTTTAACCTTTCTTCATAGGGAAAGTGCTCCAACCCTTTGATCATCCTAGTTGCCCTTTTCTGCACTTTTTCCAATGCTATAATATCCTCTTTGAGGTGTGGTGACCAGAACTGTACACAGTACTCCAAATGAGGACGCACCATCTATTTATACAGGGGCATGATGATACTGGCTGATTTGTCACGCAAAAGCTCGCCTATAGAGTTTTCCCTCAGATGACCGTGGCCCCGCCCCCAGCGTGCCTGGCGTGGTCGCGTCACCTCCGGGTAAAGTGCACGTCGGGGTGCGGTTCCCCCCGGGGCCCGATCCAGCGGCAGCAGGGAACGGGCCCCTGGCGCGTGGGTTTCCCCGCCCCCCGGGGGGACTTGGCAAGCCTAGGTCAGTCTTGGGTTTTGACTCTGTTTCTCGAGCTGGCGTTTCAATCTGCGATTATCGGATTAAATTACGAGTGTTTCTGGTTTTGGCGCTTTTAAAAACGTTGGCTCAAAATGAGCATCTGTTTGAAAATCAATTAAAAGACCACCCAGAACCAGGCGCAGGCTGCTAGAGGGCGGCTAGACGGCAGCTTCTGCCAGTCAGCATTTCCCGTGGGACTTGGAAACGAGTCCCCTGGGGGGGATTCTGTTGGTTTTATTCGACAAAATAGAGCAATTAATGTGCTTCTCAAATGCTGGTAAGACTGCTTTTTGATTTTTCTCCCCTGAAATTCATAGATGGAGAGAGATCTGTTAGTGACGCTTAACCCTGAGACCTCACTGGAACTTCCATGTTCAGGGGCAGCCATGCTGCAGTGGCTCCAGGTTGAGCCTTCAGCCTTTATGTCTGGCATCCAGGCTTCTCAGCAGCAGACTCCTCGATCCTTGGACTGATTCGGCAGGTCTGTTCTTCTGGACTCATAAGAACATCAGAAGAGTCCTGCTGGATCAGACCACTGAGGGTCCATCTTGTCCAGCATCCTGTCTCACACAGAGGCAAACCAGTTCCTATGGAGGACCAACAACAGGGCAGAGAGGCCGAGGCCTTCCCTTGACAAGGACATCAGAAAGGCTCTGCTGGATCAGACCAGTGAGGGTCCATCTAGTCTAGCATCCTGTCTCCCACAGCGGCCAACCAGTTCCTCTGGAGGGCCAACAACAGGGCATAGTGGCCGAGGCCTTCATAACAGCATCAGAAGAGCCCTGCTGGATCAGACCAGTGGTCCATGTAGCCCAGCATCAGAAAAGCCCTGCTAGTGAAGGGAAGGGCTGCCAACAGCTATTAGCCCCCAGACTTGGACTTAAGAACATCAGAAGAGCCCTGCTGGATCAGACCAGTGAGGGTCCATCTAGTCCATCATTCTGTCTCACACAGAGGCCAGCCAGTTCCTCTGGAGGGCCAACAACAGGGCAGAGAGGCCGAGGCCTTCCCTTGATAAGGGCACCAGAAGAGCCCTGCTGGATCAGACCAGTGAGAGTCCAACTAGTCCACCATCCCGTCTCACACAGTGGCCAACCAGTTCCTCTGGAGGGCCAACAACAGGGCAGGGAGACCAAGGCCTTCCCTTGATAAGAACATCAGAAGAGCCCTGCTGGATCAGACCAGTGAGAGTCCACCTAGTCCAGCCTCCTGTCTCACACAGGGGCCAGCCAGTTCCTCTTAAGGGCCAACAACAGGGCAGAGGGGCAGAGGCTTCTCTTATGTACTCATATGAACTCTCAGGCTGGGGCAAGTGATGCTCTGTATTCTTGCTGCCGGGGAGGGGGGGGCAACAGTTGGAGGGCTCCTAGTGTCCTGGCCCCACTGCTGGACCTCCTGATGGCCCCTGGTATTTTTGGCCACTGTGTGACAGAGTGTTGGACTGGATGGGCCTTTGGCCGGATCCAACATTGGCTTCTCTTATGTTCTTATATAAGGTCCCTGGTTCAGTCCCCAGTATCTCTACTTGAAAAGACCAGATCGTAGGTGACGTGAAAGCCCTCTGCTGCCTGAGACCCTGGAGAGCCACTTCCAGTCTCAGTAGACAACACTGACCTTGATGGACCAAGGATGTATTTGGGGAAGGGCTGTGGCTCAGTGGTAGAGCCTCTGCCTGCCATGCAGAAGGTCCCAGGTTCCATCCCTGGCAGCATCTCCAGTTAAAAAGACCATTCAGGAGGCGTTGTGAAAGATCTATGCCCGGGACCCCGGAGAACCTCTGCCAGTCTGAGTAGACAAGACTGAGCTTGATGGATCTGAGGGTCTGATTCAGCGTGAGGCAGCTTCCTTCGTGCCTCCTGTCCCCCACCCCACATGCTGGTTTTCCAAGCCAAAAGGGCCTTGTCATGATCTGGGCTGTGCCACCAGAGGCCTACTAGGCCCAGAGATCCTGGCTAGCAGTAGGGGATCCTGGGCCTACAACTCCCAGAAGCCCCTGAGAGGTTTTGGAGCCAAAATTGACCAATAGGAAAATAGGAGGGCTGGGAATAAAAGATCTGGTGCAGCAGGAAGAGCTGTTCTTTCTTCCAGAGGGCAGAGCCAGAAGGAAGGCTGCTGCAGGGGAAAAACCCTCATCCTGAGGGAGGGGTGAGTAGTGTAAGGCCACTTGAGATAGTGAGCTAGGGACAGTGTATGTTTAGACGCGTTAGGGCATTTGATTTCTTTTCACCCACTTACTGTTATTCTACACCTTGTTGTTTGACCTCCTATAAAATAAACCTTTTCCTTGTTTTACTCTGCCTGGTCCTCACGCCCGTTATTCGGCCAAAAGGGAGGTCAGAAGGTCTTGGGAGGGTGCTCTGGGCCTTCTCAAGGGATCCTAAATCCAGAGTGGTGGCAGCGTCAGGTGACACCCCCCCACACACCTGAGCCGTGACAGGCCACATTTTCAAGCTGGAATACTGCCTCCTGGGTGTCGCTGCAGGGAAAGCGAGACAAATCGGGGCGGGGTTGTGTTGTTTGGCTTGATTCTGCACGTGGAGCATTGTCCAGGCACGGTCGCCGCCCCATCCCGTTGCTGTACCTTCCCGCCGCCTGGAAGCCCGGCTTGTTGCAAACTGCACCGCATGCTGGTTTGTGGGCCGTTTGCCTGGGTCTTTAAGGGGCAGTGGCATGTCGTTTCTCCCATCCCTTTTTCTCTCTCGTCTGCTTTTCCCCTGCAGGTCGATCGACTTATGGAACTGTATTTCAAGTACCTGGACGCGATGCAGGTCGCCGATAAGAAGATAGAAGGCGAAAAGCACGTAAGTGAACGTGTTCCCATCCCGCCCACCACCACCTCGGGTCTTCAGCCTTCCCCTTTCTCGTTGTGCTTTATTTGGGGAGGGGGGCTTCTTCCACCATCCCGGCGGGTGTCCATGCCTCCCGCTGCACTGCTGGGAAGCATCAGCTCTTCACAGGGGTTGCCCCAGAAGGATTGTGGGCCAGTCCCTTCCGCGCTGGGCACTGCATTGGGCAAGCCCTCCCAGGAGTCTGCAGGGAACGGTCTTTGTGGAGACTGTGGTCGAGCCACGGCTGACTTACGGCGGCCCTGTGGGGTTTTCAAGGCGAGAGACTTTCAGAGGTGGCTCTGCCCTTACCTGCCTCTCCGTAGCCACTGGGGACTCCCATCCAAGGAGCGATCACTGCCGACCAATGCTCCCTCTAAGCTGAGTGAGTGTGAGCCAGCTCACAGTTTTTTAGCCTCCGGCTCACATGTTTTTGCCTTCGCTCGGGAAA